TGCTTTACCACTTGGAGCCACTGCCCCATTTCCAGTTTTTGGGTGGTTAATTGGAGATTTAGAGTCTCATGGATTTTTCTACCTGGGTTGGCTTTGAACTGCAATCCTCAGATCTCAGCCTCTTGAGTAGCTAGGATTACATAAGTAAGCCACCAGTGCCTGGCTAGTCCTTGGAATCCTGTTTGCAAAACAAACCTACAGGAGAATTAACAAATTAACAAATTGGTCCTCTGACAAACAGAAGTTCTTAGGAACTTAGCCAAGCCACATCTTTCCACCTTTTTTTTTTCTTTTTGTTTTGATGCTAGAAAATCAAACCCTGAGCCTTGTAGGTAGGAAGGGCTCATGTCACTAACCACATTCCCAGCTCCATCTTTATTAGCAGCAGAGAATGCCGGGTATGAGGTTGCCATCTGATCAATAGCGCTCATTTTCTTTCCACCTGAAAAGATGGGAACCAACAAATGTGCCAGCCAAGCAGGCATGACAGCCTACGGGACTCGGAGGCATCTTTATGATCCCAAGATGCAGACTGACAAACCCTTTGACCAGACCACGATTAGCCTGCAGATGGGCACCAACAAGGGAGCCAGCCAGGTGAGCAGCACCTTCCTATCTTGCGGCCAAGAGCATACCCTTACTTCATTCTCATTCACCCCAAAACACAAGGATATTTTTTTCAGCATAGTATATTGAGAGAATATTCTTCAGGAAAGTCAATTTTGCTGAGAAAGCAAAAGAATGAAAAGGCCTTTTTTCTCACAGTCACCGAAAGTGGGGTGTGGCTTGCAGTTTTTGTTGGCAGTTAGAACAGCTGGCCTTTCTACCTAAACCAGAAGGAAAAACAGATGTGTGTGTCCAAGTAAAAGATCGCACTGTTTAAAGGCTGGCTTTTATTTATTTACTTATATTTCCTCTTTTGGTTTAGCTTTTAAAGGGGACTTTTTAAGATGATAGGTAAGATTATCTCATGTTTCTCTTTAGACCTCTTAAACTAGAATTCTTATAACTGAGCTTCTAAGGAACACATTTTCTGTAAAATGTTAAGTGGATCCTAAAATGGTAGCAAAATAGTTCTTCGGTAGCAGATAGAATTGCAGCATGATGACGTATGTTAACGTATTTCCTGTTAAAAACACTTCAGAGGGAGAACTTTCCCCCCATCTAAGTGAGCTGTACCCCTGCACCCAAGGAGGATCTGCTGCATCCACTCTCACACTCAGCGTGAACATCACACTTGATAGAACACGAACAGGCATAGATTTATTTTCATGTGTTTAAGCTGCTGTGTGTAACCTGTGTATCGTGTTCTGATCCCAGGCAGGGATGTCAGCACCAGGCACCAGACGCGATATCTATGATCAGAAGCTAACATTACAACCAGTGGACAACTCGACCATTTCCTTGCAGATGGGGACCAATAAAGTTGCTTCCCAGAAAGGAATGAGTGTGTATGGGCTTGGGCGGCAAGTGTACGACCCCAAGTACTGTGCTGCCCCCACAGAACCCGTCATTCACAATGGAAGTCAAGGCACGGGAACAAATGGGTCAGAAATCAGTGATAGTGATTATCAGGCAGAATACCCGGATGAGTACCATGGCGAATACCAGGATGACTACCCCAGAGATTACCAATATGGTGACCAAGGCATTGATTATTAGAGTCACAGAGGTGATCAGTATATAGTCCATTGATTTTTATCCAGTGAGAACCAAACTAGCCTTGAGTAATTTTTATCTTGTCTTCCTAAAACACTATTATGCTTCTTGTACCTTTTTTTTTAATGCCTTACATACATTCCTTTTTCCTTTTTCTGCCTCTTCCCTAAATAGTTGCCTTTTAGTGCTGTAACAGTTAAATCCTACAGCCTAGCCAGTAACCTGCAAGTGAAGTAAAAAGGAATACTGTGAAAGAGGAATTCTTGTACAGCCAGTTCTTTTATTAAAGACCTATGCATTTTTATGATCTTACACTTAAGCTGGGTTTTTCAAACAATAGGAAAGTTTTTGTTTTGTTGGTTTTTTTTTTTTTTTACAGTTTAGCAGATCTGGTTTCTACATGGAAGACTAAACTCATGTTTATTGCTACACGTGGCCTTTGCCAACTAAATCTAAGATGCAGCATTTTAGAAATTTTCATATCAATGTCTACAGTATTGTTTGCTAATTTTTAAATAAAGTCATGATCGGTGTGCATTTGTGATTAGATGTGTACTCATTCTCTTACTGAGGCTGACAGATCTTGGCGGAGAGGTAGGCCTGGGGCGTGCGGTTGAAGTCTTCATTTGTGCCAATGTATCAATGTGGAGTTGCTCTGTTTTCTTCAACTGTATTTATTGCTGCATTTCTCAGCATAAACTTATCCCATTGTATTTTTTATAAATAAATATTTTTTTTTGGAACATTCATACGAACCACAGGCTGATTATTTTCTGGCTAGCTTCCAAATAGGCAGGATTAGATTAAGAACAATGGTAACAACAGAAAGTACTCTTTCCTGGGTGCTCTAATAAGGTACTTTAACATTTTATTCAGTCTAGCCAACATTGTACCCTGCGCTTAGGACATAGAAACTTAGAAAAGCGAACATTCTAGCTCTGAGCATGTCTGTAGTGAATGATAGCCAGAAGTGGCCTGACCCTTGCTGATTTCACTGTTTCGAATATTCTAGATCCGAAGTTTAGTAAGGAAGAATATTTTTGTGTGTGTCTGTCCTGAGGCTTGAACTCAGGGCCTGGGTGCTGTCCTTGAGCTTTTGTGCTCAAGGCTAGTGCTCTCCCACTTGAGCATAGCTCTATTTAGGGCTTTTTTGGAGGTTAATTGGAGATAAGAGTCTCATGGCCAAGCTGACTTTGAACTGTGATTCTTGGATCTTGGCCTCCTGAGTAGCTAGGCATGAGCCACTGGTGCATGGCTAAGAAGTTAATATACATACTGTAGGGTGAAAATAACATACTGCATCAGAAACAGGACGTGCTGTTTGATTAATAATGACAAGGCTACAATCACCGTAGCTGGTAACTCACTTTCTGACTTTATCTCAGCCAAATGATTTCTTCTGGTGGGACTTGACCTGTTGCAAGACTTGGGAATTTAAACAGTTCTTTTGCTGACACCGATAAGGAGGCTGTACATGTGCTCTGAACCACAAAACTGAAGTTTATTTGCCCCATTACAAGTCAGTTCAATGTTTCTAGAAACTGCCATGTGCATCCCTTTCTTAAAGGAAACTTAAAGGAACTAAGCTAATTGAGTGGTATTGTTTAAGAACAAATATACACACGTGCGTGCACGCACACATACACACACATATAAATCTATACGTATAGATTTATATCTATACATATAGTCCACAGTGTAGACTATGGCTTTGAGGAGGTGACAGGGGAGGGGAAAAGTCTTACATCACATTACTTGCCCTGCAATGAAGTCACATTGAACCTCCTTGTCAGGAGGGAGGGTAATGCTACCCAGTCATCTAACAAATGAGGCTGCCAATCAATGTGCTAGATGTTCCTATTTGTTTAAAAAGGAAAAGCTCCCCCAGATGCCTGTGGCTCATGCCTCTAGTCCTAGCTACTCAGGAGGCTGAGATCTGAGGATCGAGGTTTGAAGCCAGACCAGGCAGAAAAGTTTGTGAGACAATCTGTTAAGACTCCACTAAGCACTAAAAAGCCAAAACTGGAGCTGTGGCTCAAGTGGTAGGGTACTGGCCTTGAACAAAGAAGCTCAGAGAAAGTACCCAGGCTCCAAGATCAAGCTTCAGTGGCACTCAAGAAAAGGGTGTATGTGTAGTGGTGTGGGGGAGATGGAGGAGAAGATCTCCCCTTACCCCATCTAAATCTCCAGAGTCTAGGTCTAAGTATCACAAATCTTCCCCTAAGCGAGTCCCAGATGAGACTATAGTTGTAATATACTCAGGCTGTTGGCTAATTAAAAAATAATAATTTTTATTGTTATTAAGATACAAAGGGATACCATTTCATAAGTCAGGTAATAAGTACAATTCTTTTCGGACAATATCACCCCTTCCTTTGCTCCCCCCCCAAGTTTTCCCCTCCTATAGGCTCATTTTAAGGTCCCTTCTGCTTGATACCAAATAAATTACATCTTTGGAAATTCTGTTTATCTCTGTGGAGGCCCAATTGTAGTGAGAGGCCAGACTTTGTTTTTAGGTCCCTAATGTAAGAATTGTACTTTGAAAAGTTGATAGATTTTGCGTATTTGTAGGAATAAAGTCCTGCTTTGCAGAAAAGCAGCATTTCAGACTTCTGCTGCCACAGGCCTTTTATAAAAATGGTATACTGGTTTTATGCTCCCAAACTCAGATGGATTTTTCCTTCTTTCCTGGTTATTATAAAGGTGACGTAATGAGGGATTACAATTACAGACGTCAAGTAAGGAGTACATTTCTTTTGGGACCATGTCACTCCTTTACCTTTTTTTGGAGAAAAACAAAACCAAAAAAACAATTGTGAGACAAGGTCTCACTATGTGGCTTAGACTAGCCTCCAATTTTTATCCTTCTACTTGAGCCTCCTGAGTGCTGGGTTTACAAGGATGTACCACCATGCCCAACCACATACTTGTTTTGCCGGTCTTGGGGCTTGAACTCTGGGCCTGGGCGCTGTACCTGAGCTGCTTTTGCTCAAGGTGAGCATTCTACCACTTAAGCCACAGAGCCACTTCAGGTTGTTTTGTTTTTTGTTTTTTTGGTTATTTTTGAGTTGTTTATTGGAGATAAGAGTCTCACAGAGTTTCCTGCCCAGGCTGGCTTTGAACAGCAGTCCTCAGATCTCAGCCTCCTGAGCAGCTGGGATTATAGGCTTGATGACCAAACACCTGGCTACACATGGTTCTTTTCAAATTGGTGCACATGAATGGGGTATTAAATGTTCCCAGTTGGTATCAAAAGGTCATATGTGTTGAACATGCAAACCATTGTGGGTCTTATCAGATAATTGGCCTGGAAGATCACTTTCTCCAGGTACAGGTGTTTCTTACGTCCCAATGGGCCGGAGTTCTGTTCCCTCCTGATTCCTCAATGAGTCCTTGTTTTGCTGGGACCCTGAGTTGCTAAATTTCTGGGTCCTTTTTACAAAGCTCTGAAAAACAAAAGAGTGAAGGATGTGGTGTGTCTGCGCTGATAGGAACCATTTACTAGTTTTCGGCCTTGTAGTCTGAGGGAAATTAATCCTTAAAAGTTTTATTTTCCTGTGGAATTAAAACTTTGGGGTGGCAAGTTGAGGTCTGAGTAGGTCTGCAAGAGTAGGAATCAGGAAAAGACCAAGCTAACTTCACACAACCACCAGAAAGAGCCAACTTCCAATTCTCTGCCTCCCGAGTAGCTAGGATTATAGGCATGAGCCACAAAGCCCCTTCTGTTTTTATTTTTAATATAGAAACATGAGGATACATGAATTGTAATAAAACCATAGAGGTGCTTATTAAACTTCATCCTGCTGAACTGAGAGTGCTTTGGGTGCTGTTTAAAGCTAACAGGGTTTTCACACTGAAGTTGTTTGTTTTTGTATGTGTGACAACAATATAAGATGAGGATTCCACTTGATGCTGGCAAAAGATGGTATCATTCTGTTGTGGGGGGAAAAAACATCCCTGTCTAGGCAGGATAAGGCAGATGAGCAATAAGTGTGCTGCAGAAAAGAACAGATGCCTGCTATTTCCAGATACAGCTGGGCACCGCTCAGGGTGTGCCTTGCTTAATGGAGGGCCTGGGGATTACAGATGAGTCAGTACTAGCACAGAAAGCCTGCTCTACAGTGTGTCTCCCTCTCCCTCTTCAGCTCAGTGGGTTATGACATACAAAATGTCTTAGAAAAACATCAGTTGTTAAACTCAGACTGCCCAAGTCATCTAACCTATAGCCTTTAGTAGCAAGGGTATTGGGTTGACTGCTGTACCTCAGGTCCTTTGGTGCTGCTATGACTGAGGAGCTACTGCCATCTTTCTAGGGATGAGGTTCAACTTTGGAAAGCTGAGCTCACTCAGGTCTGTGTAGCAATAGAACCTCTCAGAGCTCTGGAAGAGGAATGAGGCTTGCCAAGGAAACGAAAGGTTTGCTTACCAAAAACTCTTGGTCCATGAAGTAGGGCTTTTCTGCAGATCCGTCATTGGTTTCCAGGTCCACAGCAAAACACAGGAGAAGTGTATCCAGCACAGTTCCAAACACAGACAGGAAACTGTGAGCCACTAGATAGGCAAAAAAAGCCACCAGTAGCAGAGGGACTGTCCATACCTGGAGCACACGGTTGTAGTTAAATGCCATCAGCCCTCCAAAAACAGTGTAGCATACCACCAACACCTGTCCAAAACCAGAATTTGTTGAAATCTATAAATCAATTGGTTAGAATGTTCTAGAAGGGTGTGTGTGTGTGTGTGTGTGAGAGAGAGAGAGAGAGAGAGAGAGAGAGAGAGAGAGATAAGTACTTCTTTGTATCCATGACCTATTGGAAAGTCCTTGTCAGAAAATTTGGCAGGATGAAATAAGGAAAACAAAAGCAAACTTCGTTAATGAGTATAGACGGGGAGATAACATTTTCATTTTATCCACAGCTAGTCTTCCTAGAGATTTGTACCTCTCAAAAGGGATTTCTGTTCCAGTTTTTCATTTAATACCATGATGTCACAAAACCATTTCCGAGTGAAAGCCATTTTATAAGTTTTGTTTTTCATCACAGGATAACAATCCATCGAGTTGGGTGTACGTGACTAGTATTACATGATTAATGGACTAGTGTACTACATGATTAGTTCCTGCCCCCTCCCCCCTTCCCCAGAGCTGAAATGGAAAGGCTTTCCAGAACTCCTGTGGGGAGAATCGGCTGATTCCATTTATGATGTGTAATGATGATATTTTCCAGGCTTGTAATTACAGGCCATAATGTACCTAATTCTTTAACAGATGCATTATGGTCATCTGGGGTCCTTGCTGCCCTTGGCTATCTATCTGTAAAGATGAACATGGAAATCCAAATCTACTTCCTCCTCAAAACCAAACAATCACCGCTTGTCACATACTTACTTAAAAGCTCATTAGCTTTTGGTGTATTTCTTGTGGGAAATGCAGGAAAGTGAACTAGTCACCAAAGGAAAATAAAATGCTTTGCCAGAACATGTGCCCAAATTGGAATGATACCGAGACGAGCAATGGTCTCTGCTCAAGAGCATCGCACATTTGTGACGCGTTTGTGTACATGCGGGGCTTCACTGTGACTTTTCTGCACACTTCTTCAAAAAAAAAAAATTATTCGGAGGCTAGGGGCCAGTGACTCACACCTGTAATCCTAGCTACTCAGGAGGCTGAAAACAAAGGATTCCATTTCGAAGTCAGACTGGGTAGAGAAGTCTGTAAGACACTCATCTCCAATTAAATAGCAAAAAGCTGGAAGTAGAAGTGTGGCTTAAGTGGTAGAGTACCAGTTGAGCAAGGAGCTAAGTGAGAGCATAAGGCCCCGAGTTTAAGCCCCAGCACTGGCAAAGGAAAATAAAAAGGATTCAGATGACAAGAGAAATGCCACTTTGGCTCCATTCAGAGCCTTAACAACCCTTTTTACAGACTTAATAGCCTTAAATAATGCGTAAATTTCGTTGAAAAGAAATGAGTGATCCCCATACTTTTATGGCCAAACCTCTACAAATCATACTCATCTCCTATTAGTAATATATTCATTTTAGACATAGAAAAGTAGGTTAAAATTACACCAGTAACAAAGACAGACTGAGGATTAAATCTCTACCTGTGTATGGTGGATCCCCAAAAAGTTTCTATACCTTTGTTTTACCATCTGCCAACCAGGACCAGCTCACAGGATAGAGGTAAAATGTGATAATGAAGCAAAACATCCACTATGGAAGAAGTTGTCAAGAGATACACACACACACACACACTTTTTTCTTTTTTGTCTGTCATGGGGCTTAAACTCTGGGCCTGGGCACTGTCCTTGAGCTCTTCAGCTCAAGGCCAGCACTCTACCACCTGAGCCACAGTGCCATTTCCAGTTTCCTGGTGGTTCATTGGAGGTAAAAGTCTCAAACTTTCCTGCGTGGGCTGACTTTTAAGCCCCAATCCTCAGATCTCAGCCTCCTGGGTAGCTAGGATTATATACGGGTGTGAGCCCCCACCGGCACCTGGCTGCGTTTTTATTTTTTACAGCATCCCTGGAGAATGAACTGAGGGCCATGTGCTTGCTAGACAAATGCTCTCCTCTTTCAAATCAATTGCTGTATGGCTACATTTTTTTTTGTAGTCCAGCTACTTTTATTTATTTAGTCAAGACATCTCACCTTTCCTAGAAAGATTATGAAGTCTCCAAAGCAGTTCACAGATGTAAAATGACTCGAATTCTTGGAGAAGATTTTGAGTGCATCTTTTGCTGACGTACAAAAATCTGTCCCATTAATGGCAGTTGTAGCATAGGCATGCTAAAACAAAAGACAACAGTGAAAATATTGGTGATTCTCATAATGTCAATAAGGAGCGTGCAAGGTACAGAAGGGGAGGGGGCGACTACAAACCTACTCGCCATCTCTGCTCATGACCTACCAGTTCCAAGTCTCAGTTTCGGATACCATGCAAATGTAGTCTCATAGAATTACAAGTTGGAAAGATGAATAAGACGTTCTGGTCAATAGGGTGGGTTAAACACCCTACTTCAAACATTGGGAACACACAAATGATCTTTGTTTAAAGCATAGCACAGTTTGAGGGCAGGAAAGGAAGTATAGCTGCAGAAAGTAAGCAGGCCGCAGTGATTTGTGAGGGGTGAACTCAAGGGTACAGAGGTTGGCAGCTAGGGATTTATGCCCTTAGGCTCTTACTACAGAACTGAGCTCCCTGACCAAATTCGGAATTCAGACTCATTCATACTCAGGCACCAGCGGTCCCTGAAACCACTAGAATGACTAAGGTCTGGAAAAGTGCAAAGTAAAACGTTCTCCTCCCCAAGGCCAGGGAACAGGGGAGCTACACAGACATCCCTGCTTGCAGAAGATGAAAAAGATCTCCCAGGAACAATCTACAGGACTCCCCTGCCCAGATGCATAACATCTGTGCTCTGAGAACATTCTAGAAAGAAATATTCAGTCAGGCATGGTTAAGATGCTAACAGACAAATGGAAGGAGAGTAACCCAAGGGTTGGGGGGGGGGCGGAACCCACGTCAGCTGAATAGAAATTCTAGAAGTGAATGATACACCTCTTAAATGGTACAGTATCAAGATGATACAACTGATTTATTTTTTTATTATTTTTTGTCAGTTGTAGGGCTTGAACTCTGGGCCTGGGTGCTGTCCCTCAGCTCTTCAGCTTAGGCAAGAGCTCTATCACTTGAGCCACAGTGCCACTTCGGTTTTCTGGTGGTTTATTGGAGGTAAGAGTCTCACAGACTTTCCTGCCTGTGTTGGCTTTGAACCGCGATCCTCAGATCTCAGCGCTCAGCACAACTGATTCTTTTATATCCTTTTTAGAAGCATTTTATATTGCTACATGGCTTCTATAATTTTAATCTTTATTCAATATAGATTCTAGTGGGCTCTGCTATGTTTGCACACATGTACAAGTGGGACTAACTGTTACAGTTATTTTGCTATGACAAGTAACAATGCAATGAACATCTTATTCTTGATTTTGAATAACTAAAGATGAATTTCTAAAAATAAGATTACTCTGTGTGTGTGTGTGTGTGTATGTGTGTGTGTGTGTGTGTGTGTGTGTAAACATTCATGTGAGAAGATTTATGGGGTGATTTTATTTCCAAAATACTTTCCCCTTAGGACTATTAGGTAATTTCAAGATCATCCACTTCCAATTATCTTGAAGTCTCTGAAAATGCCATTTCTAATAAAGAATTAGTTACATTCCTAAGAAAATACCCTGGAATATTTTCTGCTTAGGATGTTGTTCTTTTTGCTTAGATGAAGAGTGAAATTTTTTTTAATTCCATGATTTATCCCATGATATACCTTTCTGAACACTTCAAAATCATCCTAAGAAAACCAGTTTGGAGTCTTCTGGCCCCAACGGCACAGGTCTCCATCACAAGAAGTGGAAGAGGAGATGGTGGTTGAGAAACAGGTGTGTGATGAAGGAAAAATTCAAGGCTCTTTTACCCAACTCCCTCATCACCAAAAACAAGAGGCTGCTAGCCAGTTCCCCATGCTTCCTAGAGCAGGGATCAGATTAAATCCCTGCAAAGATGTTTTAAGTTCCACCCAGAACTTCAGGTGTCTGGTTTACAAAGAATACATTAAAATTTGCTTTTGAAACCTCCAACCCCGTTGGCAGGAAACTGTTGCACCGGTGGGACTTGAATCTTGGGTGGGAATATGGAAATTCACTGGCTCATATTGTTGAGGTAAACATCTTCAACACCATAAGGTTTTCTCAGAGTCCTGATGGACCAGTCTGTGTTGAGTGTGGGGTATGGCGGGGACATGGAGAATGGCAAACTCATTCTTCTCAAGTCTGACATCCAAGATCAAGAACATTCTCCTAAGATCCCTTGGGGAATCAGTGAGACCCAGAACTTTTTAATTTTTTTTAATGCTTATTCTAAGCTTCTGGATATTAAACTCTCAATTTTCCTTAGGCTAAATGCTATTTAAGAGTGTGGGCGGTTAAGGGTGTGGGTTCAAATCTCAGATACTGGTCTTAGGCTAGTGATTTTACCTCTCTAAACCTCCATTTCATCCTCTATAAAGGAAGCCACAGCATGGACTATAGAGGGATGGATGTTGGGCGGATGAAAGGACATATGCCCCATAAAGCGCCTGGTGATGGAAAGTGTTCTGTGCAAGGTGGCTATTATACACAGCTCACCAGAGATGACCTCATTTACAACCTGGAGCACAGAGAAACTCTTTCATCACTTGGGGGTGAGGGAACCTATAGTTTCTTCTCTCTTTTTTTTTATCCTCAGGCTTTAATCTCTCACATCTCAGGGATGCAGAATGGATGGGCCACTGGTCCCAGTGTGTCACCACAGGCCACCCGATCTCTGTCTCCATCTTCAGCTTCTGTACCCAGTTCCTCACCCTGTCACATCCCCCTTCTAAATTGAGGTTCTTCTTACTGCACTTCCTGAGTCACACAGGGCTGTACAGGTATTATAGGGATTTCTTTTTGGTACCATTCAGAAGCAATAAAAACAGATTGTGCCCCTGGCACTGGTGGCTCACGCCTGTAATGCTAGTGACTCAGGAGGCTGAGATCTGAGGATCTCGGTTCAAAGCCAGTCCAGGCAGGAGAGTCTGTGAGACTCTTATTCCCAATTAACCACCAGGAAACTGGAAATGGTGGCTGTGGCTCAAAGTGGTAGAGTGCTGGCCGCGAGCAAAAAGAGCACAGGGACGGCAACCCAAGCCCTGAGTTCAAGCATCATGACAGAGGGAGGAGGGAGATAAGATGTACCCCAGATGGCTGGAGCTGGGCCTAACAGAGGCTTCCCAACTCATACCTGTGGCCCTTTAAGGTTTTGTCCATCTGTCTTGTGTGTGCAAATAACTACGGGAGGCAAACATCCATCAAGTGCCTACTATCTACCAGGATGTAGTAAATGTAGTAACTAATTTAATCCTCAAAGCAACCTTAGTCAGATAAGGCAGCCAAGGACAACAAAGCACCGAAGGCTGGGTGGCCTGTCCCTGTCCCACACCTGCTGCCTGCAGGAAAGCCATCTCTGATTCCTCCCGTGCAGGAAACCACAGAGTTTGAGCTGTGCTTTGTGCTTTCCTTCTAGAAGGGTCCAAAGAATTGAATGGTACTCTCACAAGAGGTGCCCAGATACAGAGCAGGGACCATGGCTGGACAGTGTATGGAAAGAGGCTGGGTTCCCATGGTGCCACCTCTAAAGGCCTGCTGATCAGCCTTTGTGGCACCTGTCACCTCTCTGTTGCCCCATTTCTGCCAACGGTGAAGTTCTGTGCTGGAGATGTGTCTTGTCTGTGCCCAGACCTTCTCACCCCCTCGTCTGCTCCCATTATTCCACCTCTGTTTCTCACCACCGCTCAGGGAAACAATCACCGTGGCCCTATTATTCCCATCTTCCAGAAAATTCTAAGTATTGATGAAAAATGAGAGAGCTAAGTATATATGGAATAGAAATGTAGATTCTCTCTTTAGTTTACATTGAGAATTCTCCAAGAATGTCCATCATAGCTTTTATGGAGAAAGTCAGCAGAGAGCCTCCATCCATCTCCCCCGCACCCCAAACTGGAATGGTTTCTTCTTAGGATGGCAAACTGTGAGGTTAGTTTTCAGTCTTTTTAAAAAGGTAAATAGAGACAGTGCCACTGGTTTACCCTTGAAATCCTAGCTACTCAGGAGTCTGAGATCCTGAGGATCATTGATTGAAGCCAGCCCAGGGAAGGAAAATCTGTGAAACTCTTATCTCCAATTAACCACCAAAAAGCCAGAAGTGGAGGTGTAGTTCAAATGGTAGAGCACTAGCCTTGAGTTAAAAAAAAAGCTCAGAGGAAGCACCCAGGTCCTGAGTTTGAGCCCCAGGAGCTGCATACTTTCCATTGAGGAAAGTATTGGTCAAACACCAGACCATTAATGGCCAGGTCTGTTTTTGTGGCTTCCTAAACAAGTTCTCATAGTTAACAGCAAGAGCTACCAAGAACAAACTAGAGAAAGAATTGAAAGAAATACAGTGAATTCTACATCTGGATAAATCTCCATACACATGGCTCTACAGGAAAAGGTACAGAATCAACCCCTCGCCAGTTTCCCCCTGAGCTTCTTTGGCCACAGATGAAGTTTGTGCAAACAGCCTCTAGGGCTGAGAATCACCCTTCATGTCCCCACAGGAATTCACTGGTCACCACTGTCCAGTGAGGTGGCAATTGGAAAGCCTGTCTGCGCCCTCAGGGGTCCAGCCAGGTGGAGGAGGGGGGGTTAGAAGGAGGGAAATGTCTTTGCTGTGAACTACTGCAGCTATAGAAGCTAGGTGCAAGGGCAGCGTGGGCATGTTTGCTCTGAAACTTTATTTGCTTTTTGCATATTTTTTAGAATGGCTTTATGATTTCCTTGCTCAACATTAAAAAAAATCAATAATCCAGCACCACAAAAAGACAAGGAAGAAAGAAGATCACTGATCTGCCCTCAGAAATAATGGCAGCTAATATCACCTGACCATCTCCCAGAATTCCTCTGCATGTATACACTGCTGCTGATGGATGGCTGGATGGATAGATGTATTGAAAGATAGAAGGACTGAAGAATGTGCAGCAGGGAATGAGTAAGGAAAAACAGAACAGCACTCCATAAGGTGTTAAAAATGTGCATGTCCAGTTGATTGTAATCAAACCAAACAAAAAAAACTACACCCGGACTGAAAGAATTGCTGGAAACTCTGCCTTCACAGGCACGCCTTAGGTTTCCAAAGAAATAGAAAAAGTGCTAAAACCATTTACTGTCTTTTC